AATGATAATTTTGACCAGTTTTGTCGGGCCTTGGACTTTTGTCGAAAAAAAGAAACATAGCGATCCTACATTCCGTCGTCGTCGGCGGCCACAAATATTCACTCTGTGGTTAAAGTTTTTGAAATTTTAATAACTTTCTTAAACTATCCTGGATTTCTACCAAACTTGGACAGAAGCTTGTTTATGATCAAAAGATAATATTCAAAAGTATAAATTTTGTAAAAACAAAATTCCATTTTTTCCGTATTTTACTTATAAATGGACTTAGTTTTTCTGCCAGTTAACATTACATTCACTCTGTGGTTAAAGTTTTTAGAATTTTAACAACTTTCTTAAACTATCCTGGATTTGTACCAAACTTGGGCAGAAGCTTGTTTATGATTAAAAGCTAGTATCTAGAAGGAAATTTTGTTAAAATTTTGTTCCATTTTTCCGTATATTACTTATAAATGGACTTAGTTTTTCTTCCAGTTAACATTACATACAGTCTGCAGTTTAAGTTTTTAAAACATTTATTAGATTCATAAACTATCCTGGATTTTTACCAAACTTGGACAGAAGCTACTTACAATCAAAAGATATAGTATAGAGAGGAATATTTTTATTAATTTTTTTCCTCATTTTTATTAGCTCACCTGACCTGAAAGGTCAAGTGAGCTTTTCTCATCACTTTGCGTCCGTCGTCCGTCGTCCTGCGTCCGTCGTCCGTAAACTTTTACAAAAATCTTCTCCTCTGAAACTACTGGGTCAAATTTAACCAAACTTGGTCACAATCATCATTGGGGTATCTAGTTTAAAAAATGTGTCCGGATATCCGGTCAATCAACCAAGATGGCCACCATGGCTTAAAATAGAACATAGGGGTAAAATGTAGATTTTGGCTTATATCTCTGAAACCAAAGCATTTAGAGCAAATCTGACATAGGGTAAAATTGTTTATCAGGTCAAGATCTATCTGCCCTGAAATTTTCAGATGAATCTGACAACCCGTTGTTGGGTTGCTGCCCCTGAATTGGTAATTTTAAGGAAATTTTGCTGTTTTTGGTTATTATCTTGAATATTATTATAGATAGAGATAAACTGTAAACAGCAATAATGTTCAGCAGAGTAAGATCTACAATTAAGGCAACTTGACCAAAATGGTCAGTTGACCCCTTAAGGAGTTATTGCCCTTTATAATCAATTTTAACCATTTTTCGTAAATTTTTGTAATCTTTTACAAAAATCTTCTCCTCTGAAACTACTAAGACAAATTTAACCGAACTTGTCCACAATCATCATTAGGGTATATAGTTTAAAAAATGTGTCCGATGACCCCACCCACGAACTAAGATGGCCGACATGGCTAAAAAATAGTACATAGGGTAAAATGCAGTTTTTGGCTCATATCTCTGAAACCAAAGCATTTAGAGCAAATCTGACATGGGGGTAAAATTGTTTATCAGGGCAAGATCTATCTGCCCTGAAATTTTCAGACCAATCAGGCAAATCATTGTTTGGTTGCTGCCTCTGAATTGGTAATTTTAATAAAATTTTGTAGTTTTTGGTTATTATCTTGAAAATTATTATAGATAGAGATAAACTATAAACAGCAATAATGTTCAGCAAAGTAAGATCTACAATTAAGTCAACTTGACCAAAATGGTCAGTTGACCCCTTAAGGAGTTATTGCCCTTTATAGTCAATTTTTAACCATTTTTCGTAAATTTTTGTAATCTTTTACAAAAATCTTCTCCTCTGAAACTACTAAGACAAATTTAACCAAACTTTTACACAATCATCATTAGGGTATATAGTTTAAAAAATGTGTCCGATGACCCCGCCCGCGACCCAAGATGGCCGACATGGCAAAAAGTAGAACATAGGGGTAAAATGTAGATTTTGGCTTATATCTCTGAAACCAAAGCATTTAGAGTAAATCTGACATAGGGTAAAACTGATTATCAGGTCAAGATCTATCTGCCCAGAAATTTTCAGACCAATCAGGCAACACGTTGTTGGGTTGCTGCCCCTGAATTGGTAATTTTAAGAAAATTTTGCAGCGTTTGGTTATTATCTTGAATACTATTATAGATAGAGATAAACTGTAAACAGCAATAATGTACAGCAAAGTAAGATCTACAAATAAGTCAACATGACCAAAATTGTCAGTTGACCCCTTAAGGAGTTATTGCCCTTTATAGTCAATTTTTTACAATTTTTTCATAAATTTTGTAAATTTTTGTAAATTTTTACAAAATATTTTCCACTATAACTACTGGGCCAAGTTCATTATAGATAGAGATAATTGTAAGCAGCAAGAATGTTCAGTAAAGTAAGATCTACAAACACATCACCATCACCAAAACACAATTTTGTCATGAATCCATATTTGTCCTTTGTTTAATATGCACATATACCAAGGTGAGCGACACAGGCTCTTTAGAGCCTCTAGTTGAGCCTGCGATTAACAGCAAAAGTAGGCAAGACACTGGGTTCCGCGGAACCCTTACAAATTTTTTTCTATTCTGCTCAAGGGAGAAGACAAAAGTGGTGTCTTAATTCAGGTGGTATTTCAATACAGGTTCACCCATTTGATAAGAATTAACTATTCATGCGCTTAATTTTCTGCTTATATCTCAAAATGTAAAGTAGTAAGAGCAAAACTGACGAAATATGAATGATTAATAGGTCAAGATCTAATTGCTAGAAAATTTTCAGACAAATTAGACAACCCAATTTAGAGGTATTGCCCCTGAAATAATAATTTTAATGTAATTTTTTAGTTTTTGGTTGTTATCTTTAAAACTATTATATATATATAGATAAATTTTGAACAGCAAAAATGTTCAGCAAAGTAAGATCTATCATTAAGATTGATTTCATCAATTGATATAATCTTATAGGAGTTATTACCCTTGAAAGACTATTTTATAATATCTTTAAGTTTTTTTGCCGGAACTATGATAGATAGAGAGAAACTTTAAACAGCAAAAATTTTCAGCGAAGTAAGACATTCAAAATCAGTCATATGATTGAAATTGTCAATTAAATCTGATAGGAGTTATTGCCTTAGAAAAACAATTGTTTTCATTTTAAAATTTTTTTTTGCAGAAAATATGATAGATAGAGAAACTTTAACAGCAAAAATGTTTAATAAAGTAAAACCTACTAATAATTAAGAAAACATGACAGAAATTGTCAATTGATCATTGAAAGATGATTTATACCAATTTTTTGGGGGCAGAAATGATGATAGAGAGAAACTTTACTTGCCAAAAATGTTTAGCAAATTAAGACCTACAAAATATTTCAACATGACCGAAATCATCAATTGATCTTTTTTTTAAATTTTTTTGCCAAAACTATGATATTGATAGAGAGAATCTTTTAAAAGCAAAAAATGTTCAGCAAAGGAATACCTTCAAATCAATTTACCCCTTATATTAAAGAGTTATTGCCCTTTAAGAAGATTTTTACAAAATTTTACAAATTTTATTGAAAGAGTGTCTTTAATGACCTGACGACACTGTTTCCATTCCAATTTAGATGGAGTACGATATTTCTGTCCTTTTTTAAAAAAGTTTTTAACCTCTTTATCTTTGAAGGATCAGGGAATAAGCTTTAAAATTTCACTCCCGGGGCCCAACTTACAAAATGTGAAAATTTTGTATTGACCATATGGGAATATTCTATTAAAAAGTTAGGGGCCCAACCAAATTTCCAGTAGCATTGGCTACTGGGCCCCTGTTAATCTTATTCCCTGAGGATGTTGAGGTTCACCGTAATAACATGGCCATAAGGATCATATCTAAAATTTGATGATTCATCGTCTGTTGAAGGAGCATTATTTTCTATACTGACATCTGATGGAAGTGATGTTTAATTAAAAGTTAAACTTCTACTGAGTTTTTTGTATGTATACGAAATAATAGGTGGTTCTATGTTATCAAAATAGGGAGGTTTAAAGTTGAATGGTAGTTTCATTAAATATACTATATGTATGTGAAGGATGAGGGGCATTCTATGAGGAAGCCAGGAGGCTTCGAGGGTTAAATATGAATATTTCTTTCATTAGGCTGTATATGACCTTTTTTACAGTTGAGTGATTTTATCACGTAGACAAAATCAGTCACCTGTGTACTATAAATACCCGTGTAAAAGAGGGACGAAAGATACCAGAGGGACAGTCAAACTCATAGATCGAAAAACAAACTGACAACCCATGGCCAAAAACAAAAAGACAAACAGACAAATAATAGTACAGATGACACAACATAGAAAACTAAAGACTAAGCAACCTTATCCGAAGTCTCGTTTTAAAGCAACAAGGCAAATCCATTGTAAATTCAACAGTTAAGAAACTCAATTTATTGGTCCAATTACGGGAGGGTTATCCAAACTTCAAATAAAAACTTCAACCAAGTTAAACCTATTCCAAAATGGTCATCTGCACAACATATCTTGGGAGGGAATTTAACCCTCGAAGCCTCCTGGCTTCCTCATAGAATGCTCCTCATCCTTCACATACATGCTTGGATGATGGGCTATTCTATATCATAAGCCATACAGCATTTCTCAGGTTAAATATGAATCTTTAAAGCCACAAGACCAATAAATGCACTTCACAGAAATCTCAAGATATATCCTCCATGATTTAGAATCAAATAACACTACTATCTATTAGTTCCTCCAACACCTGCTAAAGGACAGAAGGTTGTTTAGTCTTTAGGTTGCTTAGTCTTTAGTTTTCTATGTTGTGTCATCAAACTGTCTATCTTATCAGATCAAGATTTGTTTGTATTAACATAACATAATACTCAGTAAATATACTTTATTACTGCAATAATAATAATTATTCAAAACAATCAAAATCATTACTGTCGATATTCAACAAATTAGCATTGTCCATATTCAACAAATTATCACTGTCCATATTCAACAAATTAGCATTGTCCATATTCAACAAATTATCACTGTCCATATATCAAACAATTATCACTGTCCATACATGTATTAAACAAATTCCACAGATCCATTTCCAAAGTGGTCGTCAGAAAATCCATCTTGGTTGCTGACAATAGATCATCCTATAGCAAGAACTCCTGTAATAACATGGTATTCACTTATTAGAAGATAGTACTGTATTAATAAAACTACTTGTATGATCATGTATATTTTCTTTTTCGGTTTCCCGAAGATGAAATTTTTGAAAAGTTTTTGCTGTTCACATAATATCATTTAGAGTTACACCAGACATGAAAGTTGCAGAAGTTGAAGCACCTCTAAATGAATGTGCCTTAAATTGATCTGCATCGATGCCTGATAATTGTAATACATTCTTAAGCCAACGAGCTAAAGTACTAGTTGACACTTTTTTGAAGGTTTTAAATGAAATCAACAAATTTTTTGCTTTTTATGATTTTGTGTCATTTTTAAATATCTTTTAAGCGTAAACACAGGACATAACTCCTGTTTATCATACTTTTTAAAAATAACAGTTTGTGTTACCTGCCCAGGCTTGGCAGTTTTCATTAATGATGTTATCAAAAATGATACTGAGTCTGTATCAAAACGCATATTATCAATGCTTAAATTGACTAAAGCTTGTGTTCTTTGAGCTGAACATAAAGCCATTAAGGCAGCAATTTTTAATGTAAGACTTTTTAAACTTAAGTTTTCTAATGGAAATAAATTTGATAAATAGTGGAGAACCTTGCTGACATCCCATGTATATTGATATCTAGGAAGAGGTAGTCTTAATTTAAAAACTACTTTCATGAATCTAGATATTACAACATTGTCTACAAGATGTGAATTACCAAAAGAAGCCAGAGTCTGGCTTACATCACATTTATAAGTGTTTATACAACTATAGGACTTTTTATACGCCCGTTTAAGGGATGTATTATGGTATACCGTTTTCCGTCTGTCCATCCGTCGTCAACATGTTGGACATTAACTCAAAAACGCTTTAACCAATTTGCATACAACTTTGGTGAATTGTTTATATCTATTGATGTGAGCTCCCTTTCGTTTTTTATAAATTTTAGATTTTATGTTTCCGAGTTGTGGGGTTTTATTCATTAAAAAAAGGGGGATTTTTCAGTTTTCGGACAATAACTCGATCAAAAATGCTTTCACCAACTTGCAAGAAATTGTGGTGAATTGTTTATATCTATTGACATGAGCTCCCTTTCGATTTTTATAAATTTTAGATTTTACGTTTCAGAGTTACATGGTTTTATTCATAAAAAAAAGGGGGATTTTCCAGTTTTCAGACAAAAACTCAAAAATGCTTTCAGCAGTTCTTATGAAACTTTTGTGAATTGTTTATATCTATTGATGTAAGCTCCCTTTAAAATTTTATAAATTTTACATTTTACATTTCTGAGTTATGGGGTTTTATTCATTAAAGAGGGGGGATTTTCCAGTTTTCAGACAATAACTCAAAAATGCTGTCAGCAATTCTCATGAAACTTTGGTGAATTGTTTATATCTATTGATGTAAGCTCCCTTTTGATTTTCATAAATTTCTAATATGACATTGAAAATTAATTGAACTTTATTGATCTTTATTCTTTGAAAATGTGACGGGAGTATCATGTGCTCATGGCGCAGCTGTTTATTCATTCTGTATAGTTCCCCTAAAAAATTTATTAATTGTATTTCAGTTGGTTTAACTGAATTAATTATCTGTTTACTACACCAAATACACCATTTTCTCCATTGAAACTCATATTGTTTTGAAGTGGAGGGTCTCCACGATTGTAGTAAAATATCTCTAGATTGCTCTGAAACTCCTTGACTTTTGAGTAATTGCCTGATACAATACAGGCGACTAGAAACATTTTTCTCTTGTTCATTGAATGTAATTCGTTGCTGTGTGCTAGACATAGCAAATCTTTTCGAAAAGGAAGTCTCACTGTATAATCTATCAAACAACTTAGTAACCTTGGAAACCAAGGCTGTGTGGGCCACATTGGTACTATTATTAAAACCATGCTTACCCTGTCCTCCTCTATTTTTCTCAGTACCTCTGGGATTAAACTGAAAGGAAGAAAAATATAAGGCATATAAGAACTCCATGAAAATGAAAATGCATCAGAAACAAAATCATCTGGATGAGGAAACCAAGATACGAATCTATCTAACTGTTTATTTAATCTAAAAGCAAATAAATCTATGTCTGGTATGAAAAAAGTTTTACATACAGCACTAAACACTTGTTCATTTAATTTCCACTCAGATGAATCACTAAATACCCCAGATAGATTATCTGGTACTCTATTTTCTTTCCCTGGAATGTGGACAGCAGAAAGAAAAATATTTCTACCTGCTGCCCAAACCCAAATCTCTTTTGTTTGTTTGAATATGGTTTTTACACTGCCATCCATGTTATTTAGATAATGTACTGCTGTTGCACTGTCAGATTTAACACAAACATGACAATTTTCAATGTTTTGACAGAGAGAGAATAAAGCATATTTTACTGCCAATAATTCTAACACATTGATATGAAGTAATTTTTCATCATCTTTCCATCTACCTTGTGTTTTAACTTGTTCGAAAACTGCACCCCAACCTTGCATTGAAGCATCGGTTTCCAAATAAAAATCTGGAGAACCATAACTTATCAATTTTCCATTCAACAATTCAACATTTTCTATCCACCATAAAATTTCTTGTTTGGCTAGCTCTGATAGTGTAAACTTAACATCATAATCAGCATTATTTTGATTAAGTACAACAGATTTTTCAATATCAAGGTATCTTAAAAATAAAGGTGCCAACAAAATTGCACACCTTGCTGAAGAATAAAGCCCAATTAAAACTGAAATTTCTCGGATTGAAACCTCATGGGTATCTAAGATCTTGGAGGAGTGTTTCAAAATATTTTCTATTTTTTCTACAGATAGAAACACTTTAAATTCAACTGAATCAATAATATAAACCAAGAAAAACAATTCTCTGTGTTAGGATAAAAACTGATTTCTCTTCATTGACTTTGAATCCTAAAGATGCAAGCAAGTTTCTCAAAACTACTATATTCTCCCAACATGTATCATAAGACTGATCTTGCAATAGCGAGTCATCAATATAAAAAAATGAACTTATCCCAAATTTTCTGATGTGGTAAAATACCACCTTCATTACTTTTGTGAAAACTCTTGGTGCTGTACTTAATCCAAATACTAAACTTGTAAATTCATATAAAGTATTTCTCCACCAAAATTTCAAATATTTTCTATCAGAATTTCTTATACCTAGTGAGAAATAAGCATTGCACAGGTCTATACTTGTAAAGAAACAATTTCTTGTTGTTGCAGCGAGAACAGACTGCAAAGTTTCTTGCTTGAAATGAAAATATTTAACAAAACGATTTAATTGTCTCAAGTTCAGTACTGGTCTAAATTTGCCATTTTTCTTTTGAACCAAAAACAAATTGGAAATAAACTGATCTGATTCATTGAATGATTGGACAATAGCCCCTTTACTCAAAAGTTCCTGTACTTCATTATCAATTAATCATTTTTCTTTTTCCGAAAATTTGATTGCATTAGCAATAAATTTTTGCTCAGGACTTTTAACAAATTCAATTTTATAACCATATATTTTATGGTATCTAAAATCCAAGGGTCTGAGGTAATATTTTCCCAAATATCAGAAAAAATTTTGACTGAACCAGCAACAAATTTTACCTTCAATATCTCCTTGGGCGCCTGCTGTAATTGCCTTGGCCTCTGCCTCAGACAGACATTCCTCTGTTTGAGTACTGGCTCTGGCAGCCTGCCTGGCCCCTACGAAAGTTGCCTCTTGCCCCGGATCCCCGGGGCTGAAAGAAGTTTTTTGAACTTAATTCATGATCTCCTACACATGAAACCTTGTAATTTTTGAGCTTCATTAATCTCTTTTATACGCTTGGATACATCATCACCAAATAAATTTTCCCCAATCTCTTCATTACGGTTGCAAAGTAAATGATACTTTGGCTCAAGGTGAGATTTAAGAATCATTTTTCTACTATAAGAAAATTAAAAAAAAACACTACTTAGGATTGTCATAGCTCTTAGTGTGTGAGCTCTTAGCTCCTTAACATCAGGATCTTTCTTTGATAACAACTCTGCCAGACGTATGACAGGCACTATTCCATTGCCGAGCATTCTTTGCACATTCTTTGCACATTCTGCATATTCAAGTCAAGAGACTTCACATTTCTACGTAGAAAAGACCAAATTTCAACATTAACTTTGGGGGGAATAATGTTCTTACAATTTAAAGGTATTTTACTGTCTTTGACAATTTCATCAAGGTTAGCTTTTTTACGTACAATTGTATTGATCATATCAGCGATGTTGCTCATTGTTTCCCTACCAAACTTTACATCGTCCTCAAAGATTTTTGGGACTTCGAATATGAATTTATCTGCGTCATTGCTGTTTACAGCAGCATTATTATTTTCATCCATGGCTTCAGCCTGGAAGATGTTGAAGTATTCTAGATCCAAGGTCGGATCTTCAACATTGTCAACCATATTTTGAATATCAATATCCGGTTGCTGGTATGAGGCGTGCTCGAACCTGCCTTGTTCTGAAAATAAGAAAAATCTTCCATGAGATTGTACAAATTTCTGTATTCAACTTCAATTTTGGACAATTTGCTCTTTTTTGCTTGGGAAACCTCTCCCCCATCAACATTTTTCCTTTTCATTGGGCCTTCCCCTTCATTTTTTTCCCCCGGTCCTTTCCCTGGACCTTTATACAAACCCAGTTTGTCTGACTTTTTGTTTACACTTGTAACATTTTTGCTGTGTCAGCTTTATTATTTTTTGTATTATCTACGTCCTCCTTAACTTGTCTTTAATACACATGTCGTGCTACAGTCTTAGAAAAAAACGAGGCTTCGGATAAGGTTACACCGGTATTTATAGTACACGGGTGACTGATTTTGTCTACGTGATAAAATCACTCAACTGTAAAAAAGGTTGTATACAGCCTAACGAAAGAAATATTCATATTTAACCTGAGAAATACCGTATGGCTTACAATATAGAATGCCTGTTATGAACTTCAGGATTTTTTATCAATGTTTATATGCAGGAATAGCCTATGGTGACAAAAAGCTGTAATTATACGTGTACATTCATATAGTGGGCTGATAAACAAGATGGTATCTATGATGAGTTTATTTACAACCACTGGGTCGATGCCACTGCCGGTTGAGTTTTAATTCCCCGAGGGTATCACCAGCCCAGTAGTCAGCACTTCTGTGCTGACATGAATTATCATTGATATGGTCATATTTATAAATTAACTGTTTACAAAACTTTTGAATTTTTGAAATACTAAGGCTTTTCTACCTCAGGAATAGATTACCTTAGCTGTATTTGGCAAAACTTTTAGGAATTTTGGTCTTCAATGCTCTTCAACATCGTACTTTTTTTGGCCTTTTTAACTTTTTGAGCGTCACTGATGAGTCTTTTGTAGAAGAAACGTGCGTCTGGCATATATACAAAATTTAGTCCTGGTATCTGTGGTGAGTTTATTTGACCAAGTTTACATAATAATTGATGCCTACCATTTTTTTTGAATATTGATAGGAGATCTTCAATTGTATAATTTATAGGATGTTTAATTTATTGATTTCGATTGATAGGTTTTGCCATGAGACCTATTATTTTGTTATCTTTTATCAATACTATTAATGATGTCAATAGAGGAAGTTTAAGATCTGTTCCCTTGTCCCATTATTTTGTCGTTAACACAAGGGATATGCACATCTGCATTCATATAATCCAAGACAGTTCGCAAATTTTACGGGAATCTTCAAATTGTTTATGTGATTGTCATGTTTGTTTCTGGATTGTTTTGAGTGGTTGGAATTTTATATGAATTTAATATTATGATTGTGCTTTCTTAAATGTTTGTAAATTATACTATTGATTTTCTTTGGTTTTCTGAAGAGTTATAGATGTTCTGGTGTTACGACACTTTGGGTTGGTTCAAGCTACCAGATAAATGAGCCTTTGAGTTTTTCTAGTAATGTCACAGGAAAAAGAGAGCTAAAAAGCTCCACAGAAATAAAGTGCAGACTGTAAGCAGCAGTATGTATATAACCAGTATTCTCACCAGAATATTTATGGATTAGATGCTGGAAAAATACTCCACTCCATCTATCCTTCCAAAACACATAGAGGATACATAGGCTTTGTCATCTGTAACACAAACAGTTACCTTTAACCTTATTCAAACAATGCAGAGTGTTCTCAAATAGATTGAATATGTGTACTTCTTATTAAGAACAGATTTGAATTATACTTTCTCAGGTTTCCCATGGTTTTACCTTAGTAATTTTTGTCATTGAACCCTAATAGTGGGTTTGTGTCATCGATTAACCAAACAGTTTTTGTCTCTCCTGCAACAAAAATCACAGATATGGAGACAAAGGGATTAGATTCTATTTGTATAAAGATTTATATTTCAGTGGGAAGAAGAACTGGATGCTTCATGCCTTGTATGCTGCTACCTTATGTAAGGAAGTTTCCGTCTGTCATATGTCCATTCTTGACAACATTTTCATGGTAAAGTGACTGTTTGAAAAAAATTTATAGGTTTTTTGTCATGTGAATTTCTCACTTATAATGACTTATAGGATAACTGTATTTGGTATATCATGGTTCCCTGCAAGGTCCACATGTCTATGAGACAGGGTTCACCTGACCTTGACCTCATTTTGTGGATCCGTGATCAAGGATAATGTCTGCTACCTTGTTTCAAGAATTATGGATTGACTGAGCAGTGTCATATAGGCAAAGGGAAGGACAATAAGGTTATGGTCTCTGGCCATTCAGTCTGTCAACACTCTAGGATAACTCAAATTTGCTTTAACCAATTCTCAATTAATTCTATAACAAAATTAGGATTGATGGAAGGAAGCTCACTTTTGCCTTTGACAATTTTTTGTTTTGTTGTTCTAGAGTTATGCGACTTTTTATAATTGTTGGAATTGGTGAAGAATCAATCGTTCAATTAAAAATACTTAACCAATTTGTCATTCCAGAGTTATGAGACTTAGACCATCAGATAAATGAAAGGTATTTTTTATACGTCCTTCACTTTTTAGTAGGCTTGGATCAATTTACTACAAGCTTAACACTGTTGTTGGAATTGATGAATGTAGACTTACTTTTAATTTAAAAAATTTTCTGATTTGTCATTCCAGAGTTATGGGACTTTTAAAAGTCATATTTGACACAATATTCATACACTTAAGAGTATCCCAATGTATGTTTTTCTACAGATCCATTTTTTTCTCACCTGTTACAAAAGGTGCTGAATGCATTGGACATATAGTGATTATAATCCTGTTGCAACCATCATACACTATTTGTATACAGCTTTATATATAAGAAGGTTGAAGATCTGGATTCTTCATACCTTGTATGCAGATACCTAATGTTACGAAGTTTCTGTCTGTCAAATGTACATTGTCCATGACCTCCTTTTTATTGGTTCAGCGACTGGTTGAACAAGAATTATATTTTTTATTAAGATGGGTAATAGGATACCTTGGTTCCTTGCAAGGTCTTTCAGACACAGTTCACCTGACCTCAACCTCATTTCATTGATCAGTGATCCAGGTTAAATTGACGTGGTCAAGTCCGCATTTCAGATACTATAAGCAATAGGTCATCTATATTTGGTGTATGAAATGATTGTTAAATGTACATGTACCACTGGCAGGTTTCAGTGATCCAGGTTAAATTGACGTCTCTGCTGGTGGACATTTTGTCCCCGAGGACATCATCCGCCCAGTAGCAAAATTGCATGAATTTACAAAGATCTAACAGGATACTGGTTCGGACGTCGCCCAGTATAAAAACGTCCGAAACAGACGTCACCATGGACACGGTGTCGTCTGATAAGGCAGGTGTCCCCTCATCACCAGACATGACAAATATCCCAAACATGACTCATTCAGATCATCATACTAGTGAAAATAGCAATAGTACACATACACAGCCATGTTCAGTTCTCCTTAAAGACATTTTGGATTGTGATGACTCTGAACAACACTGTCTCATTTCGAAATGTGGAACTAATGGCTGCAAAACTTGTGAAATTTTAATAACAGACGCTCAATTCACTAGCAATTTAACTAAAAAGTCTTACTTTACTAGAAGTTATGATGATCTGAATTGTAATAAAAATGTCGTTTACGGATTAGAGTGTAACCTTTGTGGATTGGATTACGTCGGTGAAACAAAAGGAAGGTTAAACAAACATATGTGCGGCCATAGATCAGATATCAACCTCAATGCAAACGACATTCTGTACCAGCATTTTAATCAACCTGATCATTCCATTGTTTCTATGACAGTTCGTATAATCAAAAAAATATACCACAAGACTAACAATCCTCAACTTCCCACGTCTCTCCGTAGACAAAAAGAGAACTACTGGATTCGACAATTGGGAACTGCAACACCATATGGTTGCAATGACAAAATTGATGGTATAGGTATTCTATCTAGTCCTTCCTGTAGCTCGGTGAATGTGATGAATATTTTCAACTCTACTCCTCGACGTAGACTCAGTCATGGTCATCTTCATTATACATCACCTACTTTGCATGATGTCTCTATTAATGACTTGCTGCCATTTATACAAAAGCCATTAGGTATTCATCACATTCGCACGAAACTGTATTCATTATACCCCTTTCAAAACTTCATTCTCTGTTCAATTTATGTTTGGAAACCACTGTTACAAACCCTCATTCAAACCAATACAAACTTACAGCTATCATTTCGGATATTGCAAGTCACAGACTTTTCAAACCAGTTCGCATTGGAAAAGATGAAAAAGAGAAAAGATCTTTTCTTAAATTTTCCTTTGCCAACAAAGGTCTCGATGGCGTCAACTTAGGCAATATCCTTCATCATAAATTAGTTTAGTCGAAAATACCTCCTTATTTTAAAGATCAGTCTGTACCAATAATTTCTTATACCTATACCAAACCAATTGCAACTCAAATTTTCAATTACAAACACGTTTTGCATGATCTCAACATTGACGACTTCAAGTCTAAACCTCCTGATTGCACCTGTGCTAGTTCCCAATTCACATATAATCCGGCTGGCCACTTTATTACCGGAGACCTCAACATTGTCAATAACACTTCCCTGCGAAATTTGTTATCCAAAGGTCCGAAATATCGTGAGCCTAAATCCATCAATTGGAAATACAACTTCAAAATACTGATGGATTCAGTCGAGGATTATGCCAGGCAATGGGCTAAACACGAGAAAGAAGACGTAGATACTCTTTCCGAATGGATTAAGGCTGTGAGGTCGTTGATACAAATCCGAATTAAGAAACTAAATGGGCATATCAATACCCACGCTACTACAAT